GTGTGTGTGTGTGTGTGTGTGTGTGTGTGCTTGTTTGGGAAAATCACTCATCCTACCACCAAACTGAGCATCACATGATTTCATCCCATGTTTGCCTCCAAACACACACACACACATTTACAGACACACACCTCCAGCTGCACAGCTGGGGCTTTGAGCGAGCAGCTGTAGGTATAAAAAATTGAAACGGCGACTGTGTTTGTGTCTCAGAGGCTTGTGGGACTTCCTGTGAAAGCAGTTTGCTAATTTAGGACAGCAGTTGATTATAACTTTATATGACTTTAACACAAGCTGAGATAAACCACAAATGATTACAACTTGCTTCATGATTAGTTCTAACTCTCCCTTTAGGCCTCACTGAGGCCTCGTGGGGGTTTTTGACCCATGAGGCTAAATAAACAAATCTAACATTAGAAAACAAACCTCACAAAAGTTTTACAGGATTTTACAAGAATTTAACAGTAAAATATTGCTGTTTTTAAAGTCAAACTTTTAAATTAAACTAATAACATAATATGTAAACAAATCTATTTTATATATCTTTGTTTCTAGTTCTTCTGCTTGTGCACAGTGTCAGCTGTGCCCTGCAGGATCAGAGGCCCTGCAGTCTGCTGCTAAAGACTGCACACCATGTCGACCAGGTATTTCCCACCTTCATATTTCGGAGCTTTTTCTGCAGCTCATGAGAAAATAAAAATAAAAATAAAAGAACCATTATGATTTGAACAGGCATGCACAAAACCCCCCATCAGACACTGTGCCAGATCTGCAGCATTGGCTTCTACCAGACCAAGTGGGGCCAGGAAAGCTGCGATGTTTGCCCAGAGGACCACTACTGCCCCGTGAGCGCTGCACCTCCTCACCACTCAGACATGAATGTGTGAGCCGTTACTGTTTAATGATGCAGCGATGTTGTTCTCCCAGAGCCCTGACGTGAACCCCATCCAGTGTCCAAACGACGCTTTCTGTCCGAAGGGCAGCACGTCTCCAGGCTACTGCATGGAGACTTTCTTCCGCAAAGCAGGAAACACCTGCGAACTGGCACCTGTCACCATCGCTCTGTTAGTTATCGGAGGAGGGGGTGAGTAGCACTGCAGGAAGACAAGCTATGCAAAGAGAAGATGAAACGACTCGAGTTTTTTTCAGCAGATAATCTAACTTCAACACATCCTATGTCTATGTTCATCTTTTAACTGTTCTACTTTGTTATACTGAGCATTGAGACAGTAAGTAGTGGGTAAACCTTGAAAATAACAACATACAAAATCTCATTTGCTGTTGCCAGCTGTCACGCTCGTGACAGGTGTCATGAATGACTCTCAGCTACTACCACACCAAATTTTAGCTCAATATCTGCTAAATTCAGCGAGTTACAGCTAGTTTTGAGTTTATAAGTCACGTGGCTGTGGCAGCCATTTTGAATTCTCCAGGAGATAATCTACATAAAATACAAATATTACTTTAAAAAAATATTCTCCATGTTTGGCTTTCTGAAGCCGTGATGGTTTAAAGATTTAAACCACACTTTCAGGCTAGAACTGGGGTGTCAGACATTACTGAGCATTATGGTTGTCCTCAAAGTGCCAGTTGTAATTAACTTGAATGATTTGTGTTTAGCTTAACTAAACAGGAAACGTTGCRTTACTTGTCTCATTGCTACGGCTGTGCTCCGCTAACAAACAGTAACTGAGCTCTGTAGTATTTCCTGCACAGAAACAACGTTTTACCATCTTATAAACACTGAAAAGTACTATGTGAATCATAATCTTAAAGTTTATTATTTATATGAAAAACTATTTTCATGTTAAATTAAAATAATTTTTTTTAGATTTAAAATGAAAATGGGTAGAAGTCACATTTGGTCTGCGGACCTTGAGTTTGACACATGTGGGCTAGAATATTAGTCACACTGCTGTTTATTCATTATTAAAATGCATCCTTATAATTGAATGCAGCTCAGTCAGCTGTTTTATAACAACATAATGAAATAAAAAATAAAATAAGATTCACGCTCACATATCAATACGGTCTTTGTTGACGGTAAATTCCTGTCACACCCTCTGCTGTTCTTTTTTTTCTGTTGTTTTTAGTGGCCTTACTCTTTATCATTTTAYTGGTCCTGCGTCGACGGAGGGACACGGACAGAGAGCTGACGGTGGCACGAGCACCTCTGCTGCGCAAAGAGCGACCTCAGGGTCGATACTACGGCCTGCCCTGTGACACAGAGCCTGTGTACGCTGGCTGGTGAAACTCCAAAACAACAAAAACTCAAAAAAGAGGACTAACAGTAAAATGCTACACGTCTGCCTTTGGAGCACTTTCACGACTCACCTGTTTTTAAAAAGTCGTATTTGGAAATATAACTGACAAAAAGAGTCCAGTTTGAGCAATTCTTGTATATTTTCAGAGATGAAAGCTATCTGAACTGTTAAAAACCAAAAAGACTCATCTTGGTTAAAAAGTCTCTTTTGAAAAGCACTTTTACTTTGTGTAAAATTCTCTTGTAGATTAATAAATAATGTTTGAGTTTAGTGAGATTTATTTTGCATTCAAGTGCATCAGTTAACAGCTTAGTAAATACTGTGTAAATAGTAATCAGTGCCTTTTGTTTTTAGTCCGTGTATGTTTGTAGTTTTCAAGAAACCTTTGCTTAATGCAGTTCATCTGCTTTTTTGATGTCACATTTATATGTTTTACAAGAAAATAAATAAAAAGTAAGAAATACATTTAACACTGGTTGATTTTTTTTTTGGGTCATACTAATAAAATCAAAAAGGCACCTTTCATTTCAGATTTGTCCACCTAACTGCCTTTTTTCAGCTTGATACACATCCATAATTTCATACACTTTTCAAACCTGGTTTTTTGTGCTAATAAAAGCTTCAAAACATTGCTGTAAATTCTTAAACTGCTATTTTGGGAGAATTTGACATGAAATCTTAGAGCTTCAGAGCCCTGATCTCAGTAATATCAAGTCAATATGTCATTATTAAAAAAGGAACATATAGATAACTACTAAATCTGCCAAATAAACTRAACAAAACTGAGATACTGACAATCACAGAAAAAAAGTTTATGTAAAACTTTAATTAATATACTGCTTAAAGATACACTGTTGTCTGTGGCGTGTGGATTCCCTGTTGCAAGTCAATTCCATTGCAAGACATACAGTATGTTCARCAGAGGCTTCAAGGTTTGGCATTTTAAAAACCTAAAACAAAGGCACTTTCTGGTTTCACCCAACATCATTAAATATTTTTTCAGCATTCCAGTTGCTCATGTAAACTGTTCTCAATGGATTTATTTATTTATTTATTTATTTATTGTGCCTCTAACTTTTAGTTTGTTATGATACCCTTCATGAGAGTTTGTGTATTTGTATACACTCCTGATCAAAATCTTAAGACCAGTCAAAAAAAGTGCAAGAATTTGCATTTT